AATTCAAATTAAATTTCGATCCGCGGCTCGCACACGCACACAAAAAAGAAATTTATTATTATTATTATTATTATTATTATTTTATATTTTCGCCATTGAAAATTATTTATTTAGAGTTATTAATGATTCGCGACAGAACAATATAATTCTATTGAAGGGGGAAAAAAAAATTATTTAAGGGGGGGCGGAGGGGGTGACGAAAAAAAAACAAAAACAAATTTCGCGATGGCGGATTCGAAATCTCACCTTTTCGTTTCTCAATTTTTCCCTTTTTTTTTTTTTTTGCTATTGTCAAACGTTCGTCATTAATTTAAAATAAAAAAAAAAAACCGTTTGACGATTACGACCGTTTTTTTTTCTCCAGGACGTTAACCCGTTTTTTTGCTACCCTTCATCGCCTTCGAAAAAATTTTTTTTTTTTTTTTGTACTTGGAAAAAATGAAACGAACCTTATTATTTGCCGAGTTGTCATTTGCCTGCCATCTTATTTAACGTTACGGTTAATTAACGTGAATCATCGCAAAAAATGTTAAACGATGCATAATAGCAAAAAGAAAGAAAGAAATAAAAGAAGAATAATGGAAGGGAGTTGAAAAAAAAAAAAAAAAAAAAAAAAAAAAACGTTTTCGGGCTCGCCTAAATTTTGTTCGAATTTGTCATATTTTTTAAAATTTCCTTTTACGGTAATATTAATAATAATATAATATTTTGAGACCTTCCAGGCATCATTATACATCGCAATGTCAGGGGGAGTAAGGAGTGGGGAGGGGGTTTCGGATCGGTTGTCGGGCAACTAATGTCAAAAACGAGACAATAATCAGACCATGACCAAAGACATTTAAAAACGGCACTTACCTTATGCTTCGTCGTGCGCCTTTTGCGACTCCAATTTTCCTTTTGCTCCGTGGATTTTCGTCGGAAAATTTCTCTTCGTCCTTGATTTATCCGAAAATTTGTCGAAATCGTTTGAACTATAGCAAAATATCTGCAATTAAAAAAAAAAAAAAAAAAAAAAAAAATTAATGGAAGCAAAATAAAACAGGAAATAAGAGAAAGTTTTTTGTGTTTTGTTTTGTTTTTCTCCCAATATTAATGATGATAATAATAATGGAAACGTTTCGACTAAGCGGCTAATGGTTAATTAATTTATTTTTTGTTTTTCTTTCCCCCCTTTCCTCTACCGCCCCCCCCCGTTTGGATTTTGCGGTTTTAAATTATTATACTCGGTGTGCAAATTTTATTGCGGAAGACAAAGTCCCGTGCCAGATTATGCGGCGAAATAATCATTAAAAAAAAAAACGTTAATAAAACAAAACGTGAATAAAGCAATAAGAAAGTCGTTTTATTTTTTAACGCGATGTTATGTGAGTTTATTTTAAAAGCCATTAAAAAATTTCTAAATTTGTTTTTATTATTATTATTATTATTATTAAAGAGTCGGGTGGAGAACTTATTTTAAATACTTGTTTGACCACAATTAAATAACATAAATTTTTAAATTTAAAAAAAATGATAATAAAAAAGGAAATTTTTGTGGGTCAAATGTCTCTCTCTCTCTCTCTCTTGTGTGTGTGAGAAAATAATTTTTATAAAAATAAATAAATAAATTATGAAATTCCAAAGGAAGGTACCATCAGACAAAAAATTATTATTATTATTATTATTAAATTGTATATCTTAATAGCAAAAATACTCGGAGCAATTAAATTTGCTTTAGGTAAAAACCTTGGAAACGCGAGCAAAAAAAAAAAAAATTAGGGATCGGATACATACACGAGTTTGATTATCTCTTTCTTGCTCTTGTCAAATTGTGGTATCTAAACGAGCGCAAAATTATTTTTAATTAATTTAATCGTCTGCTACAAACAAAACGTGGGAAAGTAAAAGTATAAGAGAAAAAAAAAAAAAAAAAGGAAATTCGATTTAAAAATAAATAAAATATTCGTTAATTATCTGACGAGTGTTTGTGTTTGTCTGTGTTTGTACGTGTAACCGTTCGCGAACGGGTGTATGACAACAATTTCATCAGATTTTTTGTCTTAGACAATAAAACAACAACAACAAGAAATTTATTTTTTAATTATTTTCATTCGCTCGGTTTCCTCAATTTCTTTTTTTTTTTTTTTTTCTTTTCTTTCCTTTCTCTTGAACCTGAATTAGAGCTCGCGGTTATGGTTGGTGGTTCGAATTTGATCGTATCATAACATTACTTATTTTTTTTTTTTTTTCTATTCGTGTTTCGTTTAAAAATGTCTGCTCGAATTATTTCCCGGTACTTTTTTTTTTTTTTTTTTGCTCTTCCCCATCCCGTAATCGGATGAAAATTTACCGGTAGGCTAATTCGCGAATCGTAAAAATCGAAATGAATCCCGCTGAGAATGAAATATTTAAAAGCAGAAGCAGAAGAAGCAGAAGAAAAATAATCACATAATCATAAGAACGAGGTATGAAAAAAAAAAAAAAAAAAATGTAAACCAGGCTGACGATTTCCTACACGACACGAGTTTAAACAAAAAAAAAAAATTTTATATTTAAATATAAACAGAAAAAAAATCGAGTCCGCCATTTTGTAAAAATAAATGAAAAAAAATAAAACCTGTTTGGTAATAAAATTTCCGAATGTCAAATCGTTTATTTAATAAGAATTTTTTTGTTTGCTTGTTAAATTCCATCAACAACAACAACAACAACCAGAAATGCAAGAAGGTTTTTTTCCCCCCCTCCCCCCGTTTATTTATTTCCTTAACAACAATCAATCAGAAAAAATTGTTAAAAATAAAATGGAATTGATTTTTCTTCTAAAAATAAATTAAAATAATCACGAATGCCGTACTACTTCCCGCCGCGGGGCTGCAAAACGAAAGAGGGGGTAAAAAGAAGGGGGAAGGTAGAGGTAAGAGGAGGAGGGAGGAAAGAGAAAAAGAAGAAGAAAGAACAAAAGACATAAAGAAAAAGGAAATGAATATCGTTCGGAGGACGTTGATACGGGAAAACGTTATCGAAATTACCGGAAACAGAAGCGGTTACCCCCCCCCACCTCAAAAATTGATAAAGTTCCATGTAAATAAAAACCGACGTCGAGATAATACAAGACGTAATTTTAAAGTGATCGACGAGAGTCAGCAGACAGCTTGTCTCTCTTAGAATTCGAGAATGGAAGGGTGGGGAGGGGAAGGAAAATTGCGGTTCGTTTATCAATTACGTGACGATATCCGAACGTAGAAAAAAAAATCGCAATGCGTACATACATACGGAATTCTCTCTCTCTTTTACTAATTATGGTCAAAGGTCAACCGTTAAAATGTAACGTTATCAAACTACGAAATAATAAAAGAGTTCGTTTCCCCCTCCCCCGCCTCCGCCCCCGCCCCCCGAAGCGGAACTTTAACTACGTGAACAAAATTCGAATGAGAGAAAACGAAAAAAAACAAGCGGTGGTTTTTCTAATTCCACGACAATAAATAAATTCGTTTGGGTTTGTTTCGTCGTTTAACGTCGTAGCCAAATTTAATAAATAAATAAATAAAATAAATTAATTATTTAAATTTAACAAAAAAAAATGGAAGTGGGGGGGGGGGGGGAGGGGAGAATTTTTTTTTTTTTTTTTACCTTCACGGTTCATCGTATTTTTTATTTTTGAAATTTGTTCGTTTGTAACTTTCCGTGAAATTTTCTGGCAATTTTCTTTTTTTCGTTTTCGTTTTTTTTTTTTTTTTTTCAAATTTTTTTTGGATTCGAGTCACGAAATTTTATTTTTTTATTTTATTTAAACGCAGTAATGGCGAACGATTTTGATAAAATAAATAAAAAATAAAAATAAAAACGTTTTCGGAATGTTTAATTTTTTTTTTTTTTTTTCTTATTAATTGAATTTAATGCCACTTTATTTACTTTTTTTGTGTTTACAATGTTGGCACTGCCTCGTATTTTATTTATTTATTTATTTTTTTTTTTTTGCTGTGGCGTTCCAAGATTAAATTAAAAATTTAAAAAAAAAAAATTAATTAACATTCCGATTTTAATTTTTTTTTTTTTGCGACGAAATGAAATTTTATACAATCGAATCGATTATTCATCATTCGCCATTATTAAAAACGATTTAACGGCGGAAACGTTTAAATTAAATTTTTTTTTTTTTTTTTTGCGATTTAAATTGAATTTGATTCCGATAAATTTATTTATAATAAATATGGAAATGGTTTCACGATTAATTAAATTTATAAAAAAAAAACCGGAAGTCGATTTCTTTTTTTTTTCCCTCCGATTCCGTTTCGAACCGATCCGTGATAATACCGTTAATTTTAACAACACACAGGTTCCATCACGGATTTTTTTCCTTTTCGTTTCGTTTCGTTTTGTTATTAAAAAAAAAAATCAATTAAATTTTAAACGTTTTAAATGCAAAAGAAAAAAGAAAATAATAATAATAATAAATTGAACTTTTGTCAAAGTTTCTATTTTAAAAAAAAAATTAAAATTTGGCAAAAGTTTTAAATCGCGGAGAAATCTTGCGCTAAAAATAAAAATGACAAAATTTATTTTTTTATTTAATTTCTGTCGTCTGCTTCTTTCGATAAATAGATAGATAGATAAGTAGATGCGTGAAGATACATTAAGCTAAATTTTTTTTTTAAAAACTGTCTCACGTTTCAAAGCAAAAAACCGTTCCTGAAATCCGTTTCCGGTATTCCCCGGATTTCTTCTTCGGATATAATAAATGACCACCACGTTCGGTTTGGGATTCGATCCGCGGTGGTAAATTACCACCATCCATCGCTCTTTCTATTCCCAAAAAGTTTTTTTTTTTTTTTAATCAAGAAGAGAGATGAAAAACGAAAATGGGTTTTATATACCGAACCTGAAGTACTTTATTATTATTATTATTATTTTTTAAACCAACGAAACGAAACGAAATTTCGCTAAAATGTAATAAATTTAAAATCGTTATTTATTTTTAAATATAATTCGATTCGATTCAATTATTATTATTATTATTATTTATGCTTTTAATTTACGTGTTTCAGCCGAATACTCTGCCTGGTCACGCAATTCAAAGAGGTATACTATGGCAACAGAGGGATAAATTATTTGCCCGTTGGAAAGAAAGATATTTCATTCTCACGCGAGATTACCTTCATTGTTTTAGAAAAGCTACCGATAATGGTTTCGATCGTATATCAGATATGGGTCCATTCATATTTAAGGTTTGTAAAAACCTTAAAATACTACAAATAGTATTTTTGTGTGTGTGTGTGTGTGTGTGTGTGTGTGTGTGTGTGTGTGCGTGTTCTATGTGGAAAATTATAATAATTTTTTGTGTTTTCATTTACCTGCATTCATAGATAAAACTAGTCGATGTTGAAAAAGTCACGTGGATAAACAAGAAAACGTATAGTGCTATTTCTTTAGATTTTAAAAGAGATGGTAGAATATTGTTGAGATCTCAACAAGGATTAGAAGACTGGTTTGATGCGTTGGAGGTACGTACGTTCATAATCAATCAATTTTTTTGTCTGTGGAAAAAAAGAGAAATGAGAGTGAATAAAAAAGAAAAAACATTACATACATAATAATTATTATTATTATTTTTTTCTTTAAAAAAAAAACAACCAACAGGAATGTACGTTGGCTAGTAAAGAAAGAAGGCAAGCGTTAAAATGTTCGAGAGATTCGTATCATCAGGGAGAAAACGAACAAAATATGAATAGTTATAATAGTAACGTTGAAGATTTACTTGCTGTTAGAAACAAAATAGGTTCGGAAAAAAAAAAAAAAAATACATCAATTGAAAATTTCTTTCTTTTTTTTTTTTTTTTTCCCAAATCTAAACAAAATTAATTCTTATGCATTCCAGCATTACTTCAACGAGACTACATATCCGATTCTGTACCGGATGTGTCCAAGTTTGGTTCGCCAAGTTTAAAAAGTTTATTCATATCTGAAAGCAGGTCAGAAGACAATGACGATGATAAATCGAGTAATAATGTGCCTTACAGTGCAATTAATCGAAGGCTATCACGTGAGTTTAAAAATCTCTCTCCTCTGTTTTAAATTTACAAAAAAAACACAAAAATTAATAAAATTTTACAATGATATTATTATTTATTTATTTAAATAAAAATTCGTTCGCTTTATAAAAATAAGTTTAATACGATTAAAATCTTTAAATAAAAAAAAAAATTATCATTTATGACGTTTCCATGCGATTTAGTTAAACTTAATTAATTTTTTTTTTTTTTTTTTCAGTTTTAACGGACATAGATATAAACGCATTAAATACTTCTTCGATAAATACGAAAGCGACTCCGATACCGTGCCGATTGAACAGCGACGTTTTTTATTTACCCGGCCTATCGAATGCCAGACAAAGATCGAGCATAGCGGGCGAAACGGTTAATCCACCGAAAGAAAGTTACTTAAATGATCTAGGGAGATCAAGACTGGGAACGAACGCATCGGATTACAAATCGAAAAATTTTCTTAATCCTTTTCGAATACCAAACATGTTACAATCGACCAAGGGTACTGCCAATAGATATTCACTCATAGACGATACCGAATCGATAAAAGTTATTTATTCGTCTTATGAAAAATCTCCATTTACATCATCGTGATTTAATTTATAAAATGGGCTTTGCAAAAATAATAAAAAAAAAAAAATGTATATCTAACCCTGCGAAACATAAGTTTATATATATATATGATTCACATAGATCGCATTAAAAAAGTTTAAAAAAATATTTTTTTGTTTTTACTTTGATTTCTCTCACCTTATTATATAAATAACCGTTAATTGAAGTTTTTGAGACGATGTTTTTTTACTATTTGTTGGTTACTTCTTGAAGTAATCGTTCTTCCGTGATACGTTTTAATTCCAATATTGAAGGATAATCATCGTTTATATGACTCTCAACATTCTAACAAAATAAAACGTTTACATTTTTTTTTTTCTTTTTTTAAAAATACGAATATTTACGTTGGTGCAAAACAAACCTCTCTAAATCCGTTTGATTGGGGTAAAGAAAATGTATAATTATAATCAACTTTGCATAATTTATCAATTTTATCACCGTAAATTGTTTTCATTTTAAATAACATGTCTCCGAATTTATTATTGTTGAAAATAAACGAATCTTCGTTTTTCATAAAAAACTGAAAAAAAGAAAAAAAATAATAGTAGTTTTGTAAATGCAAGTAAATTAATTTTCTTTCAAAAAATAAAATAAAAAAAAATTTTTCTTACTAAATCGCTCCACAAGAATCTGTAATAGTCTAATAAATATACGTTAAGTTTTTGAACCTCATCGGCCAAATCTTGGAATACGCCTAATGCAAATAATCTTTCGACCGAACTTGTCTGCAAACTAAAAAATTATTTTTATTAGCGATTTGTAAACCTCCACTTTTGTCTTAAACGTTTAAATGGTTCGTTATTTACCGAATAAGTAAGCAGCAAATTTTATCGATGCATAAACGACTGCCAGAAAATAAACATTTGTATACCAATGATGGTGGCATTACTATTATAGTCGGTAGGTTACCAGCTTCCTCAATGGCGCTGCACTAAAAAACGATTTTTTTGTTGTTAACATGTCATTTAAAATCGAGATATGATTTTTATATTAAACTCACGATTTCATAAAATTTCAATGCCGATAACAATAAGTTTCTAGTCTTGGTTTCGGAATTCCAAATAGATCCAATATTTATTAAATGACTAACGAAGTCACTGATCGCTTCGACCGATTTGAGAAAATCGCATTCCTGATTATTTTCAGTTAGAAAAATTTTTTTTTCCCTTTTGCTGGTGATCAACAAGTTTCGTAATAGCTTTCCCATTGTCTCGATAATTAAAATTTTCACGTTAATTTCCGACGATAGAAATAATTGTTGCAAAGGAGTAAAAATAAAATTTTGAAAATCTAAAAAAAAAAAAAAAACATACATTTGGAATTTACATTTCGTATTCATTTCTTTATATTTATATTATTTAAATAAAAGTTCAAATAAGGTCTTTTTTAAAGTGTTTCACTTACCCTTTTCGTTGTACATTTCAATCCATTCCAGTAATCCAAAAATTTCTTCCTGATAGTCTTCTCCATCCCATATTAACATGTATTTATATAAAAAAGAAGTAACTATAGGAATACTTTGCAAAGTGTATTCTTGAAAATTTTTTAGAGCTTTTAAAAAATTTGATTTTTCTCTATCGGAGTATTCAACTAATTCCGTCAAAAAAACTATCAAAAAAAAAAAAAAAATTACAAAATGACGTAAATATTCATAAACAAAAGTCACTATTTTAATTACTTAATCATCAACCTTTGTAAAGTGTATAATGCAGTTTATGTAAAAATCTAGCTTTAATATCATCATTACTGAAAGCTAGTATGTGATGTCCAGCTGTATTACTTAATAATGATAAAATCTGAGCCGGATACTCAATTCTGTGTAGATGAATAGCCACTGAGGTCATACTATAAGAATATTATTTTTTAAATAAAAATTTATTCGAAATGAAAAATTGATTAATGATTTTTTTTCAAGTACGTACGATTTTAATTCGTAAATTCTTTTTAATTTTTTTTCATTGTAAGTAATTCCAGTTTCGAAACTTATGCTTTCAGGGGTAGGAATCAACCTGTGTACCCATAATTTGCCCTAATTCAAAAAATTAGTAACATTAGAATTAAATGAAATAATTTTAAGAGTATTTACTGAATGTTAAAACAAAATACCTTAAAACCTAATCCTGAATTCCATTGAATATCTTTATTATCTCCATTTTGGAAATAAGTGTTGACGTTTCGTGAATGAGCTTTTTTTAAAGGTTCTTCAAAGTTTCCCGAGGTGATATTTGAACTGTTGGTAATTGGGATTCTTTCTGGAACTGCTTCAGGCTTGTAGGATTTTAATAAACTATAAGAAAATAAGTATTTTAACACTTTCATTACAAATTTTATTTTATATGTGGTAATAATACTAACCCCAAAACTGAATTTAAGTGACTTTTTTCTCCGTATGTCTCTTTCATTTGTAACAATTGTAAAACAATCCATCTCCTGGCATCTTCTGGTTTAGATAATAGACATAATAGCTTACAAACCAATCTTTGCTGAAATTGAATATCAAGTCAAAGTAATTCGATTAACTTTAATCAAAAAAAAAAAAAAAAAAAAAGAATGACTTACAATATGTACTCTGTTTAATAAAAACAGAAAGGAATAATAATAAGAATCCAAAATGTTAACATCTGTGAGTTCATATGTAACTAAGCCTAAAAATAAATATAATTTATAAAAAGTCGTTATTAATAATAAAATATTTTCAAGGATTTTAAAAATACTTTTTTAAAATAAAATAACAAACCTATTAGCCACTGTAAGATTGATTTCTCAACTGTAACTGTAATTTTTTCACTACCTAACCTAGTGAAATACCACTGCAGGATTTTTTGAAGGCATCTTTTTGAAATTTTACATGTAGGTATAAAACAACATATCAAGCTCTTGCTAGTGGATGAATCTACAAAATTTGAATAAATTAATAAAACAAAGTAAGAAACGAAACTGCTTCAAGAGCACAAAACAAATGTACTAAATGATTTTTTATGGATGATTTTTTTGGTCTTCAAATACGTTAATTATTACTTACTAAGTTCTGTGGCAATTAAAAAATCCACAAGACAATTTAAATCATCTTCCGATAAACCATCATTATTAGCAATGTCTTTTAATTTTTCAACGCTTTTTTGAAATTCCTCTCCAATATTTTTACCACCTATAATTTCAAATGAAACGCAAGACAAAATAATTGATTGAGTAACAATATCAAATTTTTATAAATTTACATTTACGTATTAATAAAACATGCTTCTTTTTTTATTTATTGCAACATTGAATTAAAAATATTCTTACCAGCGCATTCCAAAATTTTTTGAATTATATTTTCTTTCTCTGTACTCATTTTAAGATTTTTTACATTACTGCTATACAAGAAGACGCTCGGAAAGTCGTTAAACAATAAATAACCGCCAAATGCAAAGGAACAAAGTCAATGGAAAAACTCGTTCATGTAAAAAAGTTATCAGTGCTGCCATCTAACTACAAATTATCTATTGATAATTTATATTGTTGTAATCTTTTAAAATAATAAAATATTTAAATAAATAAATTTTATAACAAAGTATTAATTTTCTAATAGCTGCATGTTTTAATACTTACTCATACATTTTTAAATAAAAACGATTTTACGAGTCTTTTAGTATTTATTTTATTATTATATTTAGGTAGAACATTTAGGAGTGACATCGAATTAAGAAATAAAGTTATTTGAATTTTTATGGAAAAATTAAAATAAATGCATCTATTTATTTTTAAATCTTTGTTTAACATTAGTCGGTGAATTCATGTATTTACACTAAACACAACAATACAAAAATAAATTTCAAACTATTAATTTTTAAAAATTAAATATTTTGATTAGCAATTTTAAAAAACTTAAAAAAATATTATTACTTATTATAAAAAATCTATAGATTTAATAATAAATATAAAGAGATTCACTTTAATAATAATAATAACAACAAAAATAATAATAACAATAATTGTTACAATTGCCAGTGTACAAATTATTTTTAAATACAATTTTCATTTAAAAAATGTTCGATTAAAATAAACCAACATTGAAACATAACAGAGAAAAGTTAATAATATTTTGATTAGTGTAAATCTTTACTTACACTTAAAATAATTTTGTGAAATGTTTCTCGAGGTATAATTTTTTAATAATGATAAACTATTAACATCGATTTATTTCATTTCATAAACAAATTTATTTAGTGACTTCATGTATGGATTTAGCTAAATATTCAACATTCTTTGATGTTACTCCAGCCATTGATATTCTACCATCTTTTGTTAAATATATACTGAAATCTTTAGTAAGTCTCTCAACCTAGAATCGTATGAAACTATTAATGTATATAATTGAAAGAATAGTGGGAAAAAAAATAAATTATTTGTTTAGTTATTAACCTGTTCAGGTTTTAGGCCAGTGTAACAAAACATTCCTATTTGATCAGTAATATGTGACCAGTCTTTGGATGATCCTTCTTTTTTTAAACAGTCGTGAAGTTGTGAACGAACTCCTATTATCCTATCAGCCATCAATTTAACATCTTTTAACCTGTTAAATAATTTAAAATTAGTTTTTGCAAACTATTCATTACAATACATGATTTCAGTTTTGGAAAATAAAGTTACTCGTTACAAAAAAAAAAACTAACCATTGAGATTTTAATTCACAATCACTTAGTATTTCCGTTACAATTCTCGAACCATGAATTGGAGGATTTGAATACATTGGTCTAATTATGATTTTTAATTGCGAAAGTAAACGTTCCATTTCGTCTTTCGATGTCGTTATTAAAGAAAAAGCGCCAACTCGTTCCCCATAAAGTCCCATGTTTTTTGCAAAGGATTGTGCAAGAGCTATTTCGTGGCCATCTTTAATGAATTCTCGTACGGCAAAAGCGTCTTTTGCAACATCCCCCGAGGCAAATCCTTGATATGCCATATCAAAAAAGGGAAATAATTTTTTTTCTTTGATAACTTTCGAAAGTTCTCTCCATTGTTCAGGTTTGGGATCGACACCAGTAGGATTATGAGCACATGCATGTAACAAAATTATACTGTTTGATGGCATTTTCTAAAAATTTTTTTAAATTATTCAAAGTTTGCATTTAAAAAATTTTTACATATATTATGAATAAATATCTCTTACGGAAATGTCATCCAACGCACTTTTAAAGTCTAAACCACATGTTTTCGGGTCGTAGTACCTGTAATGCTTTACATTTAGACCACAATGTTTAAATATTGGAATATGATTTCCCCAGGTTGGTGTAGGCAGATAAATTTCTTTGCTACCGGGAAAAAAATTTACCAAAAATGCTCCACCGATTCTGAGAGATCCTGTGCCTGAAATCCCTTGAACCGTTGCATTCTGTAATATTAAGGAAGAAAAAATAAACTTTCCTAATTTTTTAATAATTATGAAATATAGGTTAGAAATAATCAAAGGTCATTTTTCAATTTAAAACCATATCACTTAATCGATGAAACAAATTAAAAAATTTTTAATTACTGAGGTCAATGAATATAAAAAGATAAAAAATAAAATTAATATTTTAATTTATAAAAAAAAAAAAGGAAAATAACACTAACTTAAAAATCAATTCGAGAACAAGGTCATTTAAATAATTTTATATAATTACATAATTGGTGATGATAAAATCAATTAAATGCGATAATATTTAAATAAATGAGAAGAACAATCAAATACATTGATTTGATTTTTATTATTTTAATTAATTATATTTTGTAAAAACTAAAACCGATTTTTAAAAAATAATTGTAATGCAAAAAGAAAAAATGAACAATTATGAACTTACAAGACCATTATTTAAAATTTCTTCATTATCCAAAGCCAAATTAATACTTAATTTACAAAATTCAGGTACTCCAGAAATTGGAGAATATTCTTTATCTAACTGTTTTGCTTTTAATCGATTTTCAGCCTAAAATAAAATCAAGAAATAAAAGTATTTTAATAAAACTTACGGATTTTGAATAAAATTTTTATAAAGTTTATGTTTTCGAATATTTAAATATCAATTTTTAAATTGATTATTTAATTATTATAAAATTTTAAAACAAATTAATTATTTGAATTTATTTAAATTTGCTAAGTTTAAACAAAAAAAAAAAAAAAACATAAAAGTTAGGAATATTCTATTGGGAAAACTTTCACCTCTAATACACTTGGAAGGACAAAAGGTTTTCCATTATCATCTCTGTAAGCTCCGACTCCGAGATTTATTTTATTAGGATTGTTATCCTTTTTAAAAGCTTCAGTAATACCAAGAATAGCATCTGGAGGTCCCATTTCTACTTTTGACCACCATGTAGACCTAAAAATTTTCATGATATATTTTTTCAATTTTCGGGATAGATTTACGACAAAAATGTATAATCTGTATAAGTATAAATATTGCACTATAAGAAATTAAACTATAAGAAAAATTTTAACATATTGTAGAAAAAATTAAGTTTTTTCATAAAACTAAACCCATAAGTTTGTAAAAATCACATTTGAATTATTTTTTCTTCCAAATTTAGTTAAAATAGTTTTCAATTGAATGTTTTTTTTTTAACTATAAAATTTTAATTTAGAGAAATTAAATAAAAAAATACTTTTTTTTTCAAAGTATCTATATTAATCTAAGATTAATACAGACAACTCATAAGGAATATTTAAATATGACAATTTTTTCTTAAAATAAAAATGTAAGAAAAACTTATAAAATATGTAAGTTTTTAATTAAGGGAACTTACAAATGTTTATTACAATATAATCCGTTTAATTTATAATAATTTGGCCGAAGTTTGCCAAAACCTGTTAATATTGTTATACTTTTAGTCATAATGAACTTTAACTGTTTTCCAATAAATATTACGTATGAATAATTTTTTAAACACGTGTATAAAAATTAAAACGTTTTTTTTTAATATTTCACTTCGTTATTTTTTTATATAAAGTCGAGAGAAAAAAAAAAAAATTTTAACAAAAATAATCAACAAAACTTATATGTAAAGCAACGTAAACAATAACTTGTGATTTTAACCTACATCAAGATTAGACGTAACCGGTAAGTTATCATTTATTTGACTGACATCTATCGCTGTTGCAACGAAATATCTTACTCGTTAAAATAACGTGACTGCTGAACAAACAACCATGTGCTGACATCTTTTATTCAAAATAGTAATTACTTTTTTAAATAAAAGCTCAATTAAAGATGGCGCGTAATTTATTTCGAAAAAAAAAAAAAAATTAAATAATATAACCGATCAATTAGTTGTCAATTAATTCAATTAAATACTAATTTATATTCGATATAAAACATTTATTTATTTATTTTTCTTTAACTCCAAACAAAAAAACCATTGAAATCAACTAAAAAAAATTTTTGGAGAATCTATGAAAAATATATATAGAATTTATTACGGTGATAAAATTTTTTAAATTATTAATACAATAGACAAAACTTTTGTGACTTTTCCAAAAAATTTAATTGAAAAAAAAAATATAAAAAACCGAAGAAAAAAAACTTTTGAAATTATAATTATTATTATTATTTACCGCCGCTTTAATTAATTTTCCTTATTACCCCACGAAAAAAAAAAAAAAATTTTATGAGTTGCAAAAAATCTAAACAGTTTTTCTAAGGCGGTTTTTTATTGATAAAAAAAAAAAAAACAATAAAATTTATAATCATTCAAAAATAAATAAACTATAAAAAAAAAATTTAATTTGAAAATGTTGTAAACTTAATTAAACAATTAATTTTATTAAATATATATATATATTTAATTATTCACACATAACAGATGTAAAAATAATAAATAAAAATTTATCATGTGAGTTATTTCCTCCATCTCATCATCCTTTTAAAAAAAAAAAGTTTTGTTTACATTATTAAATTATTATTGAAAATGACAAATAACACTAAATTCAAATTTTATTTTTATTTATAATCTAATTAATAATAATAGATTATTTAATATTTTTTTTTTTGGAAAAGAAACAAACACAGACAAATTTTTTTAAAGAAAAAAAAAAAAATTATTTAAAATATTAAATGACAATATTTAAATATAAAAAGTACTTGATTCAAAGGTTTTAACTCACAATGGAGGAGGGATTTTTAAAAAACATGGGCGGGTTATTAATTAATTTATTTATTTTTTTCTTTGAACGCTGACAACATATTTGCCTCGGAAAAAAAAAAAATATTTCCGTGGCGATAAAACACAAAATGATGAAGGACAGAACAGCCAAAGAAACAAAATTTTTAAAGGTGAATCGAATGTCAAAATTAAGTGGCAATGGCCTCTGCTGGTAAAGACACGTGGAACTGGGAGGGCAAATGTTTTTACCTTCTTCTTATTCTTATTCACTTGATTCTTTTAATACCGATTAATACATACATAACAAAAAAAAAAAAACAAACTCTTGTGTGTCTTCTGCTGTTATATTACCTTTTAAAAAAAAAATGTTATAATTAAAAATGTCAGGAAGGAGAATAAAGCATTTAAATCTTACGCAACTACAAGAAAAAAAAATTTTTTTAAATTGTGATAAGCAGTATATACTCGGTAAATCTCGTAAATCAATATTATATGATAATAATTAAATATGGTTGAATGTTTAAGGTACGTCAATTTTTTTTACATCTTATAAAAATCCTTCTCGTATTTAAATTGTTTTTTTTTTTTTTTTATCTTTTCAAAAGTAATATTAAGAACTTTCAAAGTATAAGGAAGAACCTTGACCGTAGTCTTTGGTACATTTTTTAAGGCTAACTATTTAATTTTAAGCTGGATAATAATAATTTTGTGTAAAAATTTTATTCCATTACCTAATAAAAATTATTTTCCCCCCCCCCCCTCCTTAATAATAATTTTTTTTTTTTTTTGGAAAAGATTATCTTTACGCAATTTCTTTGTTCACATCAAAAAATAAAAAAAAAAAAAATAAACAGCAGAAAGGAAAAAGTAAGAGAGAGAGAGAGAGATAATAATAATAATAAAAACGAGAATCCATTACTGATTGAACCATATGAGTCTATATAGAATAAGCCTTACTCTGATTGGTTGGCATGTACGGGGTCAGGGGACTCGAAAGCGACACGTGGAAAGGATCCAGTCATTGAACTTTTTATTTTTATTTATTTTTTTTTTTTAATAATTTTTCTTCTTTTTCTTCTTCTATTTTTTTTTTTTTTTTTGTATAGATAAAGATTTACTTTCTTCTGTTGCCAACCAAAATTGTCATTTACATCAAAGGAATATTTGTTTTTGCAAAAAAAAAAAAAAAATATATATATATATAAAATAAATCATTCGATTTCCGTCATTTTTTTTCGATATAATCACCTGTAAAATCATCATTATCAGTGCTTCCTCCCTCCCCCCTCCCCCTCCCCCGTTTTCTCGTCTATAACTAACTCTCATCGTAAAAAAAAAAAAAAAATTTATTTAATTTTTAATTATCCAAATAAATTTAATTGAAAATGCAATAAGTTGAATTGTTCAAGAGCCCAACAATATAAATTGACCTCTGTTGTTTGGATACAGTGAACGAATATGTCCTAGAAAGCATTTGGTGAATAAAGGAAAAAAGTACATAGCGACCTTGGGTAACGCGCACAACTCCACGGTGTTTGTGCTACAAGTTCAGCGACCCCGGGTACGAACCCAGCGTTAGGGCACGCCACGTGGAGAATATTCTCCACGTGGCATGGATAAGAGAAGGGGAAAGTCTATGTAACAGCGACCTAACTCAAACGAAGACAAGCGAAACATGAAAATTATTTTCACCATCATCACCATCATCATCGTTTCCATTTAAAAACTATCCACCCCATTATTTCCACAGTGAAACATTATAATTGAGTTTATTTATTCTATGATTTCTTTTTCATAAAACTAACCCACACTTTTAATGAACGTTCCATACTGAAAAAAACAACAACGTTCTACATAATCCTAGGTCACTCCGATTTTTTAATTTTTAAAATTTTTTTAAAATTTTTTTTCTTTTTAACTATGACTTGAATCAAAAAAAAAATTGCAATGAATTTAAAATTTTTTTTTTTTAAAAAAACAATTTAATTAATTAATAAATAAATAAATTAAATGATCATAATTTAATTTATTGAGTCTATTGATAATAAAAATTGATATTAAATTAAAATCAAAGTAAAATTTTAAATTGTTTTTTAAAAAAAATTGTTAGTTTATAAAGTCAACAAATTTATTATTATTATTATTACTATTATTATTGTTGTTGTTGTTGTTGTTGTTGTTACTTTTATTTATTAAAGAAAATTTTGTCAAACGCAAAAAGCTTTATTTAAAAATGGAGGAAAACTCATGGCGGAAATATTTTTTATTCGTGTTAAATTTGTTTATATAAAACAAATAAATTTTTTCATAATAATAATAATAATAATAATAATATTAAGTGATTATTTACGTAAACCGCACACCATATTGAAATTTAAGAAACGGAAAAAAATTTAATTTTCTTATTAATTATTAAAATTTTATTAAAAAATAATGATAGGAAGGATGGAATCGATTCACGATATCGGACACCCAATTTTGCATTGATGTTGATTGAAAAAAAACAAAATGGAGAAAAAATTGGAAAATTTTTTTTCATGTTTAAAATACATTGATTTTTTTTTTTTTTAAAAAAAAAAAAAAGTAAATTTAATGTAAAGGCACGACGGGGTCATTAAACTCTTGCGAACTCGTAAAGCCTACACGTGGAAAGCCTGACCGAATTTTCGGTCAACGACTTTTACGTATTCCTCTTTCAAAGCTTTTTTATCTCCTTGTTAAACCATTTAGAATTTCCCCTCCCCCCTCCCCCAATCACATTTAAGCTAATTTTTTTTTTTTTTTTTTGACAATTCGAACAACATACATTATTTTGACAATATTTATTTATTTATTTATTTACTTATTTATTGCATATCGATATGATAATATAAATAAATAAATAAATAAAAAAGTTTTTAGCAGATTTAATTTTTTTTTTTTTTTTTTACATGTTCTTAAAGTGTATACAAATAATAAAAATAAATAATTTAAGGAAACATTTTATTAAAATAAATAAATAAATAAATAAACAAACAAACAAACACCTCGAGACAACAACAACAACCTGTCTTAAACTGGGATCTATTGCAATTTTATGTCACGTAATAATTTTTTCATTTAATGTTTTCAATGGTCAGTATCATTGCGTATAAAAACCCATAATTTTGAAATCTGGAGAATTTTTAGCATACGAAAAAAAATTTTTAATATCAAGTAATAGAATTATGATAACCTTTGACCTTTTTATGCATGAATTATAACTTTTTTTTTTAAAAAAAAAAAAATAATAATAATTTATTAGTCATATTTGATGATAGCCGGAACCCTTGAAAAACCCAAAATGATTATGATGATTATAATGATTACGATGAATTTTCATTTTCACTCACGTAAAAATTTTCCTCAAAACTTTCACTTCGGAAAATTTTTTTTTTTAAAAAACTTACACACTTTACCAACGGAAAATGTAACGATTTTTTTTTATTTTCACGCTTGAAAAATAGGATTAATCCATTTTTTATATATTGGATTTATGTCCTTTGACCTTTTCTTTTAAAAAAAAATTTCAACGTATTTAAATTTTCTTTTTTTTTTGGATAATATAGAAACTGTTTAAAATTTTCCAAAAAAAAAAAAAAAAAAAAAAAAAAAACAAATTTTCCGAGTAATAATTAATTAATTTTTTTTACGAAAAATTAAACAAAGTTTTAAAAATATCCTTATGAAAAATTTTTAAAAATTAAATTATTTTTAATTTTAATTTAATTTAAAAAATAAAATAAATGATTTCTAATCATTATTATTATTATTATTATTATTATTATTATTATTATTATTGGTTGAAAAAAGAAAAAAAGAAAAATCCAGGTCTAAATAACAATGGTGTGCATTAAGAAGATCGAAGTTTGCCACGCGTTGTTTAATGGTCTGACCTTGGATGAAAGCCTACACGTGTAACAAGTTTGGCACGTGGAACTCACAACGGTCAACGACCCCAAAGTTTCTTTCTTTTCTTTCTTTCTTTCTTTCTTTATTTATTTATTTATTCTCAGCTTCTAGAATTTTCACAACCTTTCAACTTTTTATATAGACAACTAACTTATTATATGCACACATCAATTCGTGTACTTTTTTTTTTGTTTTTGTTTTGTTTTTTTTTTTTTTTTTGTTTTAATTAATAACATCGTATTTATTATCACGCATATTTTTTTCATAAATTTTTTTATTTTAAATTCATTTTATAAAAAAAAAAAAAATTTAGAAATTTTATTGGGTTTCTTCATAAAAAAAAAAACAAAAAAAAAAAAAATTATGGTGGTAATTTTTAATCGATTTAAGAAGAATAATATACGAAAATTTTTATAAAACGGCCATTTTGATTTTTTTAAATGACTGATAACAAAATAAATTTAATCAAAATAATAAATAATTATAGATATATATATTTTTTTCAAATAGTTACTTTTACATTCACGTTTAAGGTCGAAATATCAATTGTCAAGGTTTTTAAAATTGTAATAATAATAATAATCATTTTATTTCCTTTCCCCCCATTTATTTTATTTTTTTTTAAGGTATTGTTTTTTTATGCAGATACCCGAATTTTTCGACACGTATAATTTTGATGGAAAAATAATTTTAAAAAAAAAAATGCAATGGATTTTAAAAAAGAGATGTTTAAATGACCCTATGCCCTTTGATATGGTCTTCTCATTGCATGGGGTCGTTAAAACAAAAACTTATGGGGGAAGTTTTTTTTTTTTTTTTTTTTTTTTTAATTTAAAACGCATAATCGCAATAAGATGGGATATTAAGAGGAGATCATTTGGGGATTTATCGCCTCCACGTGTATTTTGAGAGGTCATTGACAGAGATGAGAGTGAGAGAGAAAGAAACTGCATATTTGACATGTAAAGATGCATACCCCCTGGAAAGTTACTATATCATTTATAATGAGGCACACAACAAACAACAAAAAAAAAAAATTAAAACAACTTTTTATATATATATATGACAGCTATGATAGAAATAATGATGATTATCGTCGTACCTTAAATTAATACCAAAACCTATTTAACTTAGAATGAAAATTGCAAAATAAAAATAGATACATCTAAAAATAACTTTTTTTTAAATTGTTTTTTTTTTTTTTTTTAAATTTGATATTTAATAACGTTTAATAATAATAATAATAATAAATTTTTTAACATTTTCGGTTAGCATCGAGTTTTTTTTTTAAATTTAATAATAATAATAATAATAATAAAATTTAATCCGAGAGATTTATTTATACTTAATTTAAAAAAAAAAAAAAAAATTTGACGTGAATAACAGGTGATAAAATTAATACTAATTAAATAAATTCTTCGTAATTCTCTTGTTAAAATTAATACTAATTAAATATATTCTTCTTAATTCTTTATTATTATTATTATTATTATTATCTAACGATAATAAAAACATAAGAAAAAAACTTTGCCAAAAAATAGTTTTTATTAAAAATAAATCAGACAATAAATAAATAAAATAAAAAATTTTAAATCGTATTTTAAACGTTTTTAGTTTTGTGATTTTTTTTTCAAATAAATAATATAAATTTTTTTTTAAACAAATTAATAATTGATAATAATAATTTGTGATGTGATAGTTTTTAAAATTAACGTAAGGGTGCGTAATAATAATAATAATAATAATATTTTAAAAAGAAAATAATTAAAACCCACAGGATATCAATTATTATTAATTAAATTCCTTTTGCAACTCATTTTTTTTTTTTTTTATGGAGGAGAAGGGGAGAGGGGAGGGGAAAAGCTCAAAAGTATAAGAGTGTGAAAATTAAAATATAAATTAAAAAAAAAAAAAAAAATTTGAACTGTTTACCTTTTTTAAACGGAAACAAATCAATACAAACTTCTTAACCATTGTTTGCCATTTAAATACCAAAAATGATAAGGGATCGTAAAAATCCCTATACGAGCGCCTTCACGAGCCGTTTTACTTGTAGGTCGTTTGTATTTGGTTTAAGTGGGGTCAGGAGAGACGGAGATTTCGGTTTTACGAAGTTACATTCGGGTGTTTCCGTCAACTCACACAATAGAGTAAACACTATTTTTCCAATGTTGAGATATAACACTGAGCGGTTCTTAACCATTTTTAGGTAAAAATTTATTATAATAATAATAATAATAATTGACAAAATGTATATTATCGAAAGGAAACATTTACGATAATTATGTGCGAAATTAAACATGGATCGGGAGTGAATAAAATAAAAAAAAATAAAATAAATGAAAACTTGAAAGAAGAAAAATAAGGAAGGAAGTTCAGAAGGAAGGAAGGAAAGAAGGAATACATGTTCGATTGATAAATACACCACCCTTCCCTTCTATGAGAAGGAGCAAATGAATGAGAGAGAGAGAGAGAGAGAGGGAAGAAAGATAAAAAGAGAGGGGATTAAAAAAAAAGAGAGAGAGAGAGAGAAAAGAAAATTTTTTTTTTCTCGTTAAGGGTTATGAGTTTCTTCATGTTTCAAATGAAAGTGAATCTTTATGAGAAGTGTCTTAAAAATTGTTTCGTAGGTCAGGAAATATTTAAATATTATCTTTTGGGGATGATTCAATCGGACTATGATAACGCTATCATCAAATATCAGGTAAATAATAATAATAATAATAATAATAATAATTTTTTAATTTAATTTAAAAAAAAAAAAACGATTCTGTGCAAAATTTCATTCGTGAATTTATGACGTCACTTAATAACTCCATACGAGACGTCTTTTAAAAGAAAATTTTTAATTTATTATGTATTTCCGTATTTCGTGTAATTAATACATAACATTAAGGAGGTTGATTTTTACATTACAAATTATAATATTTTTAAATAATGTTATACAATATAAGTTAATAGATAATGTCCGAATGGATTTTAAATGTAATAATTTTTGTTATTGATAATGTCAAGGCGGTTAATTCTTAGTATAATTTAAACTAAATTGAAAACTGGTCTTTTTTTCTTTTTCCTGAGACGTATATGTCGATCTGGAAATGTCTTTTATTATTATGCCGATTATATTAAAACCGTCTGCTATCGTAATTCAAATGCCCGAAGGAAAAAAATAATAAGAAGAAGGACGTTAACAAGTGTGTGTGTGTGTGAGGAGGTTTTTTTTTTCTTCCCAATCTCACGCATTTATATATATATTTATTTTTCTAATGGCGTTCGTATAATTTAAATAAAAAAAGGCAAATTTGTAAAATACTTATGATTATTATTATTATTATGTTTTATTAGAAAAACCATTGAAGAGATGATTTTTTTTTTTTAGAGAGGGTTATTGCCTTTGGCCCTATTGAGTGAGGCAGGAATGATGCAATTGTCGTGCTCACTACGGGGCCGGTTAACGAGGTCGGTGATCGCAAAGGAGTTGGTATTTTTTACGGCTCGTGGAGGAGATCGTTTTTGGATTTTTTAACGTTCCCAATACGATCGCCTCGATTTTTTTTTATTTTTTCGTTTTCGAGTTTTAAGAGGGCTTATATAACGAGATTTAATTTGACATGTTTCGCACACGTTTAACTTATCGTTTTTTAAATTTAATTTATAATTTGTTTTTTTTCACTCGCTTATAAGAAAAACAACAACAATGCACACCATACACACTTACGTGCATACATTTTTTTTTTACTACCCCCTCCCCCCCCCGAAAAAAAGACTTGGGTAGGGTAGCGTTGTAGTCGGAAAATGGGAAAATATATATAATAAATTATAAAATTCCGAATTTTTCATCCCCAATAATTGGTAATTTCAGAAATTGAAGGAATTAAATAATATTTATTTTGGGAAATAAGACAAATTTTCATCGTTACATTTTGTGCGTGTGCGTGTGCGTGCGTGCGTGCGTGCGTAAATAATAATGATATAACGTGTAGTTTTAAATTATTATCAGAGACAATTCACTCGATACTTTCAGTTGAGGCCGTGCTTTATTTAAGTTTTCACTTTTTTTTTTTTTTCTTTCTAAAATTTCCCTTCCTTTCCCCGAGGGTTTTCCACCCTTATGATATTCTCTCCCCTCACTGTGACAAGAGCGCCGAGGAAATTAACGAAGGCGATATATATATATATATATATATATATTTATTATTATAATAAAATAAATTTCATCCATGTTTAGCATATGAATGATTAAATTAATTAATGTTTTTTTTTTTTATATACGAAAACCGTACATCAGCGCAAGTTCATTCTCCCGCAGAAAAAAAAAAATAAAAAAAGTAAAATATGGTTTTGGAAAACTATATTTTTCATTTAATAATAATAATAATGATAATTTTTTCTTGCTTCGATTCACTAATAATAATAATAATAATAATTCCTTAATACCTAACTGGAGAAAAAACGATTTTATTTACGTTAAATTTTTCTTTTGTTGATAAATGATAGTGATAGCGAACCGTTCATCCTTTAGCACGTACAAATTATGGAAACGCACGTGCACACGCACACACGCACACGTTTTTCCTGTTGGATCGCACAATTATATATATTGTTTTATTACCGTTTGTCGTATGTTGTCGTGTTAACATGTGATTCGGCGGCGGCTGTAGTTCTCAGTTTACAATGCGGCTTATTACACGATGGGTTATGTTAAGGAAGTGTTGTTATTCATCGAAATGATAGAGCCCATGTTTAACTTATTTGAAACCAATAGTTTCCTACATAAAATTTAAAAAATCTCTCCTCCTATCATGTAGGCTCTACATTTCGAAAATACTCCCCTCGTCCTAATGCGACACGTGCTGTTCGGGGAGCTACAACTGGAGTACACTGGATGTTCTCAGAGAAAAACATTCACTAGCAGTCACTCGAATGTGCCATATTGTTGTTGACTTTTTTTTTTTTTTTTTTCTTTCTTTTTTTTTTCTTCATTATTATTATTAATATTAATATTGTAATTTAATTGTATTTTAATAATTTTTTTAATTTAAAATTTGATCGATTCATCGTTAGAAAGTAATAATAAAAAAAAAAAACTTTAATGAAAAACGATCGTTTTATTATACGTTAACTCGTTTGTACGTTTGTTTGTACGACGTAAAATGGGTGATGTTATTGATAAATCGAAAAAAATTTGGATGAATAATAATAATCATTGGATAAATAACAAGAAAAAAAACGTACCTGGTAAGAAGGAAATTTTCGGTTCCGATTTGAATACCGTCGAAGTCAAAATCAGAGAAGAAGATTATAATATAACCCAGTCGAGTTACCTGGAATAATAATAATAATAATTTTATAACAATTATTTGAACTTTTCGAAAATCTTCCTCTCGGTTACAAAAAAAAAAAAAAAAAAAAAAAAGTCTCATTTTTTTTTTCCATTTTAAAAATTATAAATAAATAAAAAATTATTATTATTAATAATAATAATAGAGAGTGCCATTGTGAATGCAAAATACTAAAAAAGGTAAATTAAAACAGTGAAAATTTTTTTTTTCTTTTATTAAAATTATTTTATATAATTAATAATAGCATGAATTATAACAATAAAATAAAAAAATTGACAATTTAATTATTTATTCATAATTATCAACTTAATTATTATTATTTTTTATTTATTAATTTACGTGAAAAGTGGTTTAACATTTTTTTTTTTTTTTTTTTAAATTTTCCAGCTTATTATTATTATTGTTTTTAAAATTAAAAAAAAATAATAATAATGATAACAGAGAAAGTTTTTTTATTTGTCCATAAAAAAAATTTTTTTTTTTTTTTTTTTTTTTTAAAATTTATTCATTGCAGAAAGCTTATGGAATCGAGTATCAGAAATTATTAGGTTTTACAATTCAGATATGACTGGTGTAAAGGAAGAAGTACAAGTACCCGTGGGGACCGATTGTACGTTAAGCCCGATTGTTTCACACGATGCTCAAACGGAATCTGCAATAAAAAAATTAGTTTGCAGTCCGGACCTTCCCGTTTTCGAAGAAACACCGTCCTCATCGTCGCCCGACACCGCTTTTCAGTGTTCTTTCTGCAACAAAACATTCCCACAGAAGAACACATATCAAAACCACCTACGATCTCATAGCAAAGACGGCGAAGATCCTTACCAGTGCAACATATGCGCTAAAACATTCGCCGTACCGGCAAGACTGACGCGGCATTACCGAACGCATACGGGCGAGAAACCTTACCAGTGCGAATATTGCAATAAGAGTTTTTCGGTTAAAGAAAATTTAAGTGTTCACCGAAGGATCCACACGAAAGAACGTCCGTATAAGTGTGATATTTGTGATCGTGCTTTTGAACACAGTGGAAAATTGCACAGACACATGCGGATACACACGGGAGAACGTCCGCACAAATGTACTATATGCTCGAAAACGTTCATACAAAGTGGACAACTCGTTATACACATGAGAACGCATACGGGTGAAAAACCGTATGTGTGCAAGGTTTGCGGTAAAGGTTTCACTTGTTCGAAGCAGCTTAAAGTTCACACGCGTACTCACACGGGGGAAAAACCGTACAATTGCGAATATGCGGAAAATCGTTCGGATATAATCACGTATTGAAATTACATCAAGTCGCTCACTACGGAGAAAAAGTCTACAAATGCACCATTTGTAACGAAACGTTCACGTCGAAGAAAACAATGGAACTTCACATAAAAAGTCATTCGGAACAATCGAATACTCAAAGGGTGCAAACTACGGATCCGGGTGAAACATCCTCATGTGCTTCCTCGACGAGCGACAAAGAAAATAAAGAAAGCGACGATTCGGAACCCAAAATTGATAATTTCAAACCTGAAAAACAACCGTTAGAATTTATTTTGACTCCTCCATCCGCCGCACCCCTTTCCAACAATGCAACAACAACAACAACAACAACAACAAAACCGCACAATCTAAGAGAGTTAAGGTATTATTTAAACTACCCCAAGACTAATTACAAGCCTGCCACGACTCAGCAAGGAGTGAATCCGGCACTTTTAGCCGTAGCCGCAGCAGCCGCAGCATCCGAAAACAACAACGCGACTCCGATCAAAATGCAAAACGAAGAAGGATTTCAAACGGTCCGTTACGATACGTTCACAGATCTACCTCAATGTTCGAATAACATAAACGCATCATCACAGAATCCGATAGAACCTTCCATTTATCTATATCCGGATCCTCTCGGAGCCATGCAAAGGCGAAACCCTCCTTATCCCGTACAATTATCGACGGAATATTTGCCCGCGATGGACATCGTTGAACAAAACGAGTACAGGCAAAGTTTGAGTCCGGTTTTAACACCGCCCAGCAGCAATCCCGTGAGTCCAGAACCCTCGCTATCACCGGATCTCAACGATTTGGAAAGAACGACAGAAAAGAAAATATTAATTCTTCCACCTAGAAAACGTTCGAAAATGATATTGAAATCAATGGAATACGCAACGACAGAATCGACACAAAGATTACGACAGAATTCTGTTATACAATTTGCAAGAGCTTCATCGCTTCAGTAAAACCTTAAAAAAAAACAAAAAAAAAAAAGGAAAACAAAGGAAAATTCGATAAACTTAATTAAATATACGACAAGATCTCATTCTTCAGACCTCGCATGGCCGAAGATATGCATATACATATCTTCCATATTTAATTTTTTTTTCTTTTTCCTAACAACAGGAACAACAGCAATGAGAATTTTTTGTTTCTCGTTCGAATCGCTAACGTTTTTATAAAATGACATCTTTTTTTTTTTTTTAAAAAAAATTAATTAATAAAAAAAAAAAAAAAAAAATCTAGTCATTAATTATAATAAACATGCGATTGCACAGTATTTCCCCCATCGATCGGAGGCCTGCAAAACAATTTGTTATTTAAATAAATAAATTCAATCTCTATTAATAATAATAATAATAATAATAAATGTGTATATATATAAAATGCAATAAGAAAAATTTAATTAATAAAGTAGGCCATGACTGATTTTTTTTTTTTTTTTTTTTTTTTTTTTTTACATCTTTTAGGACTGATGGCTGTTAATTATTCGTATAAAAAATTTTTTATATATATATCATCATCATCATCATCATCATCGATTTATCGAATCGTTTTTTTTTTTTACGAAGCGAATGAGAATATATATGTATTATTATTATTATTATTAATAATATAATAACAGCCAGACTGCTTGTAAATAAAATAGAATTAATAAAAAAAAAAAAAAAATTTGTTATCGATAATAATAATTATGACATCACAATAAAAAATAAAAAAAAAATTTTAAATAACTGGCAAAAAAAAATTAATCAATTTGTAAATCAATAGAAAACGGTTATTATTATTATTATTATTATTAATATTAATTTAATTAATTATTTTATTAGACTGAAAGTTAAAAAAAATAATAAGTCATTATTATTATTATTATTATTAAATCTTAGGGGCATCATAAGTTAAATATTGGAGAATTTTAAAAAAATTTGAATTGATTTTTCAAAAGTTGAGGATTGAAAGATTTTAAATAGAAAAACGATAATAATAATAATAATAGTAATGATAATGATAATGATGTAAAAACGTTGGTTTGTTGTAGTAGAAATATAATTTTTAATTGGGGTGGTTTAAGAGCCAGTTAAGTACAATATAAAAAAAAAAAAAAAAAAAAAAATTTTTTTTTGTCAATGTAATTAAGGGCTTTTTAAAAATGAGAGTAAAAAAATAGTTAAATTAAACAATTTTTTTTTTTTTTTTTTTTTGGTGTATACAAGTTATGTAGTAAAAGACTTTTTTACCTTGAGTATATGCGTGCGTGAGTGCGTGTGTGCGTGCGTGTGAATGAATATTTTCGTGAGAGAGAGAGAGAGAGAGAGAGAGAAAATGGCAACGGGGGAAAAAAAAGAAAAAAAAAAACAAATCGGGAATTTTTTTTTTTTTCCTTAAAAAATTTTCTCCCGGAAACGATTGCAATTTTTTTTTTTTTTAATATCGATATCCTGTTATGTATGAAAATTAATAAGTTTCCCCCTCCCCCTCCCCTCCCTTCTCCCCCCAAGCTTGATATAAAATAATTTAATAATTAATTTTATTTTAAGAAGAAGTAGCAAAACGTTTTTTTATTGTGTGAATTATATAATTGTATGCTTTTTTTTTTATTTCTTTGCCTTTTTTTTTTTTTTTTTTTTGTGTTGGTAAAACCGTTAAACCGCCGAACGATAATAATATCGATAATAGTAGTAAATCTTATTAATAAATAATATATATACATAAATTAAATAATCGACCAATTTTTACGAAAAAAATAAATAAATAAATAAAAAATTTGCCGAATGTAAATTAAAATTTTTAAATAACAAACAAACAAACAAACACGTGTACAAAAAAAAAATCGATTTAGGCAAAGAATTTATTATTATTATTAATTATTATTATTATTATTATTAATTATTATTATTATTATTTGATGAAAAAATAATAATTATTAATTTAAAAATAAAATAAAGCGATTTTTATATAGTCTGTTAAAAACAACTACCTCATATAACAAGTACAAAGGAGATGTTTTTCTTTTTTTTTTTTTTTCTCGTTAAAAATAATAATAATAATAATGATGATAATGATGGTGATAATGATAATAATAATGCTGTAATAAAATTTAAAAAAAAAAAAATTATTAACAAAAAAAATTTAAATGTTAGTAAAAAGTGACAACAAAATGGTGGAAATAAAAGAAAAATAACACGAACCGGTTAAAATCGTTTTAATTATTATTATTATTATTATTATTATTATTATTATTATTATTAATATTTTTTTTTTGTAATTGACGGCAAATGTAATAATTTTCAAGTGCAATGTTATCATGTAAAAAATTATTATTATTATTAATATTTGTTTAAACAAAAATAACGGAGCCGAAATAAATAAATAAATTATAAATGGACCTTGAGAAATTTTTTTTTTTTTTTTTTTGTTTAAAGTAGAAAATTTCAACCCGGTGTTATAATAATAATTATTATTAATTATTAATACGTAAACAAAATAAATAATAATAATAATAATATTAATTACTTACTTGCTAAAAAAAAAAAATTTAAACGATTTGTTATGGTTGTTGTTGTTGTTGTCGTCCTCGTTAGTTATTATTATTTTTAATTTTAATTTTTAATTTTAATTTTTTAATTTAATTTTTTTTTAATAAAATATTTTAATGCACTGTGAATTAAAAAAAAAAAAAACAAAAATGGCGTCTGTAATAATAATAATAATAATAAGAACAACGCACCTTAAAATGATCACAACGTAACGTCGTATGTAAAATCACAACGTGACGGTTTTAATGTGTTTTACTTTTATTTTCTGCAGTTATTTTTAATCACGTGATTTGTTTTCGTTTTTGTAAATATTTATTGTCTACTGCTAAGCATTTTTTTTTTTACGAATAACTAATAATAATAATGATGATAAAATCATTATTAATAATTTTATTGCAAATTTAGGGGCAAATAATATTCCAAAAAAAAAAAGAAAAGAAAAATTTTTTAATTAATATTATTATTATTATTATCATTTAGTTTTTATGTATTTATTTATATATATATATATATATATATATATATAAATATAAATATTAATAATGATAATAATAATTTGAAAGCGATAGCAGTAAATAAATAAATAAATAAATAAACAAACAGGTATTAATAAAACCTTATTAATAAATCGAACTGAATTATTTATAAGTAATTAATTAATTAATTTATGTAATTAATAATTAATATTAAAAAAATGTCGTTTTCTACCTCAATGATAAAAATATTATTATTAACAAAATAAATAAATAAATAAATAAAATCTTGTAATCAAATTTTTAATAAATTTTAATTAATAAATAAAAAAAATGAAAAGAAAATCAATTTAATAAATAAATAAATAAATAAATAAAATTTTCATCAAAAATAAATAAATAATTTTTGCCACGTGCCTGAAAGGTATTTTATTCCAAATTAATAAGGATTATTGGCCTTAAAAATTATTAAAGGTACAACTGAAAACCTAACAATAATAATAATGATAATAATAACAAATAAAATCAAAAAATTTTTACTTAATTAAAATGACGAGAAAAAAAAAAATTATTTCCTAGTTAAAATCTATCTATGTAAATGTTTATCCCTCCCCCCACAAAAAAATTAATAATAATAATAATAAATAATAAATAAATAAATAATGTATTTTCTATTCCTCGCTAATTTACTTACTTACTTAATGTAATAATAATTGTTATAATAATAATAATAATGACAGGGGCTCAAATAAATTAAAAAAATACCTGAAAAAAATTTATTACACGCACGTATTATTATTATTATTATTATTATTGAGCTTAAATACAAAATTTTTTCGATGTTTAATAAATAAATAAATAAATAATTAATTAATTCGGGAATGAAAATAATAATAATAATAGCGCGAAACGAAAAATAATAAATAACCCTGTGGTGAGATAGCGTCGATAGAAAAAAATCAATAAATCAATAAGATTCGACCAATCGAAATTAATTAATTAATACATACATATATATATATATAAAATTATTTATGTATATATTTTCCGGATAGCGATAAACTATTAATGTATTATTAACTTAAATAAATATTATTAATAAATAAATAACTAAATAATAATATTAAATGATTCCATAAAAATATTTTCCAATAGTTTGAATAATAATAATAATAATATATATGTGTGTGTGAGCTTAGGAAACGTTTACCTTATAAAATAATAATAATAATAATTAAATGTAATAATAAATAATAAAATGCAGT